CATTGTTTTCTATGTTCCACGTTTACACTGCAACACAGACGTGATGTGCAGTGTGGTGCACTGCAAAAACAAATGCAGACATAGTTGTATTTTTCTGCAGCTCAGTGGATGGCAATGCAGGTCAACATACAACGGCGCAGTACACCATGCTTCTGTGTGGGGACCAGAATGAAGTGTAGTTTGTACACTCCAAATACAAAGCAAGTTCAGTGGACACTAGCTGCACAGTAAAATGCTGTGTTTAAAACAGACCTTCAGAAAAGATCAAGTTGAATTGACAAGGATGCAAATTTGCACATCGGTGACCTTTTTCTACAGATTTGCAATTAAAATTCTGAATGACGCTCACTAACATGAGCATTTGATGCTTACACAGTAAATGCAAATGTCAGACCATTAGACTTCATTGTTGGGAAGTCAGGATAAATCTGTGGAGGGAATTTTCTAGTTATTTTAATATATGCATCACTATATGCATTATCTGCTGCTGCAGAGAAAGGCCGTAACAATGGCTACCTCAGCTCTGTCCGTGACGTTACATCACTTCCAGTGTAAACACAATGAGTAAGCATTGTGTTTACAGTGATCTACTACAAGCACGTCTATAGAGTGTTGTGTAGCAATAGCTGAAGCCCAAGAGCACTGAAAGCCAGAAGTTCCAGCCAGCTGGACCACCATGACTGGGATGGATAGCCGCTGTCTCTGTGCCATTTTAAAACAGCACCTGGGACTCAAGTGGTTCAACTGTAAGTTGCATCTATAGGAGGGGAAAAAAAGTTTGTACCAACGTCACAATTTTTTTTTTTTTGTAGTCACTTTCTGTCCCGATGGCAACTTTGTAACCATGGTAGGATACAGAAAGCAAAAAAAAACAAACTTGACAGTGGTTTTCGTGACTTTCCCTACTCTGCTAAAAAGAAAGTGTTCCTGTATGTGGGTCTCCTGGAAATGTTTCCTTACTTCCTGTCCCGGTGACATGGTTACTGGGGACACAAATTATTAGAGAATTATCTTTTCATTGACTGTTATGGGTTGAGGCTTTCAGAAACTGATGTTTGCACATTACATTTGCAGTCAGAATTAATATTAGACCATCTCTGCTCATAATCACTAGACTGTCAACCTTAAAGGCTGACTAAGTTCATGTTAGGGCCACACTAGCAAATATGATTGTGCATATTTTCCTTTGAACAAACTGAAGCTCAGACTTCACCACGGACGGCCAAATCAGTTACAGAGGCAGCAGAGATGGAGTGTTAGAAGGTCTGATTTAGATGCTTTTACCATTTTTCCTGTGTTCCAAATTATGGCAGTATAAACCAAGCATCAGTCTAACAAACAAGCTTTCTAGGCAAATAAATGAACGCATTAGTCCATCTCACCTTTGCCACGTAGAAAAAATGTTGCGTGTCAGATAAAGCCATAGTAAAATGTATGTCAGGAACATTAAATCCACGTTTTGCCCTCTGAGCTACATGCCGAACTATGACAATTAAAATTAATCAATAGAGAAAACAAACAGGCTAAATGTTTAGCCAGATGTTAGCATTGAATTTTGGCTTTGGGCATGGTGTAGAAATGATTGGGAGAGATCCAAGATAAGGGCCGGCAGGAAAGGGGGATTACTAAGGACACAGCCAGGATAGAAGAGAATCGAGGCCAGAAGAGAATTAAGAAGATAATTAACCCGTTCTGCAAAAGAAGAAGGATTTGCTAGAAAATTCTAAAGCCTTCTAAAAAACAAAGGGGATTGCAGTTGTCACTGGTAGTAATGGAGGGAGTGAGAAGCGCTAAGTGTTTTTTTTTTTTCCTAAGCCCATAAGAATTGAAGAATCGATTGGAGGACACAGCAGCATGCCACTTGGAGCCTGAAACACTGATTACAGGGGGCAATAGATTACAAAATGATGGATAGCAGTGGTACTCACAATCTCCAACTTGATTTGTAATTTTGTGCTGTGGGAAGACTGAGACAGCAGTTTAACAAATGATTGAAAAGCACATATGGTAGTATTACACTGCACAGACCCTCAATGAAAGACTCAAAATGAATCTGTCAAAGAAAATCACATGGATGAGAAGACTCAAATTAAAGCCGACATCCTCTGAATCCCGGGCTGTAACTAGCTTCAGCACAGTGACATCACTCACAGTGACGCTGAATAGGTTTAGCAGCACTGCATCAGTACCAGTATGTGGCAAGGGCAGCCTCTGTTTGGGAGTCTCACAAAGATAGTTTGATTAAGGATTGACACTCTTTAATTCCTACACTCATTCTACATGTTCTTTCAGGAAAATAGCAGCCGGCCACACTGCTCATCTGTTTTTAGTATTCACAAACACATTTTGGTCTTTGTCGATCAGGAGAGTTGTGGTCAGCAGCAAGACACCTGCATGCTTTAGCTCATACAGTGTGCTTTTTGTCACCTCCTTGAATGCACAAGGGAGACCAGTACAGTAGGTCGCATATGTGAACACACACTAAAAACAGGTTTCAGTGTCTCATCCAAAAAAGCCATGCATATGAAACTCCAATGCCTACACATATCCTGAGTGGCTTAAATGTTACAAAAAGAAACCTCAGGAATAAAACCTTTTTTTCTGCAGTCGTTAAAATTATCAAAATTATGCCAGAGTATTCCCTATTGGTGATTGGTGAATATGACTAGTGGTGAGGATGCTTTGGTTCAAACCCAGTTCGCCTAAGTTCGCCCAAGCCCACTCAAAACTGACTGCGACTCCCTACTCCCAATCTATTTAGCTGCAAAGAGGAACACCTTGCAGCTATACGTCACAAAGGGGTGGGGAATGCCCCTGCCGCAACTGCCGCCACTTATTGGGTCGGAAGGAGGGGGTGGCAGTCACAGTTTAGGAGCAGACTTGGGCCAACTGGTTTCACTTATGACTAATTCAAACTACCCTATGTGCAAAGATGTGCTTATATAGAAATGCAAAGTAATGTTCCTCTGACAATATTCTGCTGCAGGCATGCACAGTCATTTCCTTAGTCTTGATTCCCCCACAGTGATTAAGCATTGGGGCTGTTTTAATATTGTAATTTTCTGGCAGTTTCCAAGTTGAGAGTCAGCAGGACTGACTAGAAAAATGCTAATTGCCCAAATCTTATGTTGACCCCTCTGCTTTTAATACTTTCTCCGTCACTGGCCCATCACAGATATACTTATCTGAGCTTAATAAGTCAATGTATAAGTATTAAACTAAGAGAGTTAGTATGACAGCCAGGCAACTGGCAATTGCAGAATGGGAAATCAGCTATGGTTGCCTCCATTTTTGTGTTTGGAAAGGTTTCCATTAAACCTACTAAAATAACTGAATGAAATAAGGTGCCTGCACATGCTCCTCAATACCCTACAAATTGACCCAGAAGCACTAAAAAGACACTAAATCTTAAAAATGCATTCAAGTACCTTAACTATTAACAAAAATGCATCTTATTTATGTATCACTCAGCTGTAGATCCTTGAATCATCTCTGAATTTTTGCTGACAATGTCCTTTCTTCTGGAGGGTGACTACTTCTGTTCCCCATGGTACCTGTGTGTGTTGTAAAGTAGCCACCGCTTGCTCCTGTAATGTACTACAAGCTCACATTTAGTTTACTAATTTGTATTGAGATTGTAGCCCATTGTAGCAAGCTTGGAGTGGTGGCTACTTTAACATGGGAAACAAAAGTTGCCAGCCTCCAGAAGGAAGGCGTCAGCAGGAATTCAGAGATGATTTGAGGATCTACAACTGTGTGATACACAAAGAAGATACATTTTGTAATAGGGTACTTGAATGCATTTTTGGGATTGAACCCTTGCGTTTAGTGTCACTTTAAACCTAAAGGCACTCTATTACGCACATCTCATCTTTGGCTCCTAAGGAAGAGCTGGAGCCAGTCCCCTCCAGCACCTCACTAATGGCCAATGATGCCTCCGATCAGTTTAGTTTCGGACCTAAATTTAGGTAAGGAGTGTTCCTTTAAGGTGTGAGATCAGCATAACAGAACACCCAGAGATTTAAGGCTCAAAAGAAGTCTGCAGTGTAGGACAGCAGTTGCTTATACATGTACTAAAAATTGTAATAAAAAAATAAAATAACTGCAAATAAAAAATGTAAAATTCAATTTTATTGTGCCAAAGGTTTTACAATTGTGGGTCATTTCATCCCATGTTGCAACTGGCAACTAAAGGTTTTATGCATTTAGACATATTTTTAAGAGACCCTGTCACCAAGTTAAAAAAAATATTACAGGTAAAAGCACAGAAAAATCAAGTATTTGCTTGCAGCGTTTTCAATGCCATGAATTATTTTTGTTCACTTGCATGTGCCTTTGACATAAAATAGCCAAACAGTCCAACCTTTGCCTTTAAAGTGTATCTAAACCTACAAACAGTAAGGAATAGGCTCACCTACTATACTGGATATATGGGGAAACAGTGTTTTTACACTATGCCAGGATGTTAGGACTACAGAACACCTCCATCTTCTCAACTCCATAACATAACACAGGTGTCCTGTAGTTCACAAATCTGAAGCGTTAAGGGCTGACAACATTGCTTGAGAGTTCAGTGCGGAGTGCACAGAAAGATATGAGCGGACTAGATTTCTGGCACAATTTTGTGCACTTATTGAAATAACAAAACATTATCAATGGTATATTTAACAGGCCAAAAGAAAGCAAAATCAGACAAGCTAATTTTTGAGGGTCGTCTACACTTCTAATTCTCCTTCCATGCACCCCTCTATTAATTTCCTGACCTGATAAGGGTTATGTGTTTTATCTACCTCAACTATGAGACTCAATAGTATTTTTCAAACAAAAACATTCCCACTCATATGTGAATATGGGTATAATATAATAAATCTCAAATTCACAAGCATGAGGCAGAAGCTCGTGCCATGTCCTCTGTTGATGGCAAAGGCATATTGTAAGAAAGTGAGAGAAGGGAAGTTAAAAAAGAAAAGTCAGTCATTGTTTCTTCAAAGTGAACTCACCTTAAAGATTGTAGGGATAACCTCATTTATTTTTAATTTGTGGAAAACAAAAATGTCATAAACGGCAGACACTGCCAATACAGTAACTCCTTGCTCTTTCCAGAGCATGCTGCAGGCTGCACATAATCCAGCACCGAATATCCAGCACCAGCTGCTGATAGAATAGCCCCTTGTTGAACAATGCTTTGCGTAGCATATTAATGAAAGCAGAAAGAAGAGCCCAGCTCCCACATCAGCCCGGCCTACAATTCCAGCAACAGCTTCTGTGTGAATTGGATGAGAAGCAAAAAGAAGTCCGGCAAAGAGTGTCCAGCATCCACTGCCGAAGAGGACTTTACAAAAGTTTGTGAAGAGGCCTGTGACAACCGAATGTAAGAGGATATTCACAAGGTGGTAGCTCCAGGGCTCCAGCCCTCCAAAAGTATAATTAAGGCGAAAAGAAAGAGTGCATAGTGGACGGTAGGACTTATGGCTGCCACTGTGAGTAAGCAAGGTTCCCCAGAAATCATTGAAGAAGATATGGATCCATGGAGTTTCCGGAAGAAGATCCTGATTTGTCTTGATAGCCCGACTAAAAGAAAAAACAATTTGAAGAGGATTAGAAATGTGTAAGAAAAAGCAAGATTAGCATTAGAAAATAAGGAAGGTACTTGAAACTTTGACTGTTATATGTTTGAGTGTTATATATAAACACTTGTAGCAATTAAAATCTTTTTATGAAAGTAGGCCAAGTCAAATTCAAATGGAATGTTCAGTCATTATGATAACATAGCATAGGTCGATGGCAGAAAAATATATTGAAATATATGCAGCATAAAAAGCAAAAAAAAAAATACAAAAACATATTTCCTACATCTCAGCAATATATGTACATTTCCCCATGTTTTATCTTTTAGCACAGGGCAAGTACAGAAAAATAAAGGCTGATGTGCTAGAAATATAGTGTGCATCTGAGGAAGGGTGCCTTCCTCTTCAACATGACAACAGGGTATTTTAAGGTTCTGTATTCCAAAGCACATGAGCACATGGTGTCAGCCCTGCCTACATTACTGATGGATTACAAAGACTTCCCCTCCTCATCTCCATAACCCTTCCTTGTGTAGTGGCAGAAAGCACAGGAAGTATTCAAAAAAAGATTTCTGGCAAAAAATCTACTGGTATTTTTGAACTTTTACAACAGATAGAAACAAAACACTTTACATTATATATTTAACAGACCAAAGTTCACTGTTAGGGATTTCATACACTTTAAAGAGAAATTGCAGGCAACAAGTGAAAGTTTCGAATGCACTATTAATACTATTCAGTAAACACTCTTATTGGATCTCTTCCCAGGACTAACTGGGCTGAAATGTCTTCAGCATCCCACGCTTCCAGGAGTGTCCGATGTCAGGTCCCTGTGCAGTGTTGTCCTTGCGCCAGCCCCTATGTCACCAGAGGAAATAATGACATGAGGGGCAGAAGAAGGAAGCACAGCATGCAGCAGGCATTCCAGACCACCAAGAATGTGCAGGATGCTAAAGATGTTCCAGCCAGTATAGCTCTTGAAGACAGAAGAGATCGGCATTATGACCAGAGGGAGGGGTAAGCATTAGCCTTTTACTTTGCAGATGAGCCTTTTTAGAATATTCTTTAAACTAGTGATAGAGTCACTAAAACGTTCAAAACATTCCCAAAATGAAGTGTTTACTCTGTGAATCCAATTTTGCAGCTATCAACCAAAAGTTTTTTTGCAATTAGACAAATGAAAAAAAAGAGACCCTATCACCAACTTAAAAAATACAAGTAAAAGCACAGAAAAATCAAGTATTTTAGTATTTACTTCCAGTGTTTTTTTATTTCCAAAATTATTTCTGTTCACTTGCAAAGTGCTTTTAAAATTACCAAGTCATTTCCCTAGCACAGCCTTCTCTCTTCGCATGTCGTAGCCCTCTCCTCTTCTGAAAGTGTCTAATTACTGTCTGTACTGGCCCAGCTCTTCTACTCCTCCCCTTTTCTCCCTACACAACCTTTTATGCCAGGTGAGGAATGAAGCAAAGGGGAGTTACAGCTCTGAGGCTGCTGACATCACATCTACGATGGCAGCGTCCAGCAGCAGTCTCAGGACTTTTGGATGTCTACTCAGAGGACAATACCAGTAAATAACGTGCCCAAAATACATTAAATGTACATATAACCCTCGTCAATTGGGTAATGTCACATGAGAAGAGGACAGCTCAACTTGAACTCACCATGCCCAAATTTTAAAAAATATGGTCAAGCTGGTCAGAGGTACATGCACCATCTGACATCCATCGCCAACTCCTCCTCTTATGAGGATGTTCTCACATCTTTCTCTCCTACTCTAGTTGGATTCCGGCGTTCTACCTGACATCTCTACTCCTACCCCACCCTCTCCTCCCTTCTCTATCTCTTCCCCATCCCACTTGATCTCCTCATTTTCAACCTCCTCTCGCGCTTTTCCTTTCCCTCCACTGTATCTCTTTATAAGCATATATATTAAGATGTAATGCAGCCCACTTAGATGGTACGGTTTACTCTGTGCTTACAAACGGGTGACCTGGGCCACCAACTTGATGCTGGACCTCAGTCCCTCATAGGCTACCCCCTATACTCATCATCTCATCAGCTCATCTCCCGGACGTGTCCAGAGTGACCAACTTTTTGCTCACATGATGTACCTTCTTAGTACTTTATAATATGCATCTTTCTTCCTGTCAATAAGTCGCGAGCAACTCCGTACTGCTGTGTTTTACATTGTTTAATGCATACATATGTAATGTATGGCTTGTTATTGTTATCACTTATCCTCTGCATAATAAAAATTCAGATGAGAAAAAAAAAAAAAACTATACAATATACAGTTCAGGTAAAATAAAAAAAATGTACATATAACCCTATGGGAAGATTTTTGTTGAAATCAACACTCTGGTGGCAGGGTCTCTTTTACATCTACCTTTGAAGCTCATGTTTACATGTTATAGTATGACACATATGGTCATACTCACATTGGTGGGCTTTAAATAAAAAAATAATAATAATAATCTGGGTCTAGGGGTGTACATCCGTATCTGTACGGGTGTGCAACTTCAGCTCAGCATATAGCACAGAGTTGTACAAGCGGCTGCACGCACCAGTAGTCGCTCCCGGGCGCAGGTTTCTGCACAGATGCACACGCTGTACGGCTGTGCACATCTGAATGAGGCCTAAGAGAAAATATATGCAGCCGAAAAAATGTTTTCAATAAGTATAGTTTGTGTTGGCGAGATGGTGAAAATTACACTTTAAATAGAATTCTAACCTTGAGCTCTGAAATGATACATGTTGCTTAAATTGTAATTCTAATCATAGCAGCAACCACAGAGTCTATTCCGACTGCCGCTCCTGTAGAGCTTTAAACCGCAGATGCAATTCTGTCTTTGTAACATTTGACAACAGAAAACAGACAACCTATTATTTTAGTATTATATGATCAGCCTACCCTTACTATGAGTTTATGTATTATTTATTAGCAGCTAACTAGATTCAAAGCTGATACTACAGTTTGACATCTCGAAATAAGACATGCTGGAGGTGATTTAGAAACGCCAGGGCACATAAAATGCAACCAAAATGGCCATAGCATCCATTTAGGTTTCACCTTTAATTTCCTGTGGAAACAAAAATATGTAAACTGGCAGATAATGCTAACCAACTTGCAAGGCTAGGCATCCTGCAAATTTGTGGAGCCTTTAACATAGAGGAAGCTTGATCGGGGTAGCCTTAAGCCTTTCTCAACTATGGTGCCTCAAATTTTTTATACATCGTAATGCCTCTGATGTGAAGAGGGCTCATGTGAGAGGGGGGCTGCCCTATTTTGTGTTTTTGCATGGTGTCCCCCCTTAAAATCCATACCAGACCCGTTATCTCACATAAAGGTCTGGTAAGGATTTTGGAGAGACAGCAGGTCATTTATTCCATTTATGGTTTTTAGACTAGGGTGCCTTGAGGTTTTGCAAATGGTGTCATGAGTGGAAAAAGGTTGAGAAAAGCTGGTTTAAAACAGCTCAGGAGATTATCGGTTTGTAGAACATGGGTCTTAGTGGGGGTGGTGGGAGGACTGTTATCTGAGGGATAGCTATTGGTGGATTCAGATTTGGAGGAGTATTTTGGGGTTAAGATTTAAACTGATGAGAGAGTAGTCATTTTACTGGTGTAGGAAGTGGTTCCAGTGGTTAGAAAAACTCAAACAAATGGACAGTTAGGGCTGCTTCCTCTGCTAATCACAAGTAAAAACAGAAGGGGGAACTGTTCTTGCTACCCACAGCAACCAGTCCAATTTTCCTATTTATTACCCAATACTGTATTATACACACAAAAAAAAACAAACACGAGTGGCAGGCATTGAGAACTGGGTGTTTTTTTTACTACACATTCTGTGCTAGGATAAGGCTTCATTCACACTGTCGCGCGTATAGTACCATATTCAGCATATGCAAATAAATGGCTCCATACACATAGCTGCAAATGGAGCCGTATATTTGTGTAATGTACAAATGCACAAAAACAGAATGGAACCGAGATGCGTCCGGGCAGCGTATTTAGGCGCAAATACGTGTTGTTTGCACGCGTACAGTTCATTAACATTTCTATTATGAATGATGCATTGTGGGATTGCAAATAGTGCACGCATATATGCACATACGTGCGTATATACGCAATATACGATTTTGCTCTTGCGTTGTGTGTGAATGAGGCCTAAGGAGAAGCCATACTTAGGAGATACTGTATCAATCGGCACACACTGTATGAAGCTGTTAACCCAGAGCTTCAGGGCCATTATATACACTCCAGTTGGTTAAAATGGATGAAAACATCAATACACAAATTTGGCTCGGAGGTAAAAATCTGGAATATTCTGACATAAGGGAGCATTTTCCAAACCTTTAATGTCCTTAGAGAAGCCCAGTACCAAAACCTAGGGCTCCTTACTTTAAAGCAAACCTCCTGCCCATTAAATTTCACCTGTACCCTTGCCAATCCATTTGCCTGTGAGAGTGATGTTCAATACCCAGTTCTTCGAAATAAGGGAAACATACAACTCTCTTTTTTCCAACAATAGGTGCCTATAAGCGCCCAATCTGCAGACACCAGCTCTGTGTAAATTCTTAACACTTCTCTGGGAGGTACCCAGGGCAGCAAAAGAGGAAGGGGTAACCAAGTTAACTAGTTTCTTTGCCCTGGCTGAAAAAAAGCACATGTTCACTCGAAGATAGCTGCACGCCGATTACTTTTTAATTATGTCAGATTAATAACTCTGAACAAATTTTGTTGAGCTGATAATTCAAATCTGAAACAATCTATATGCAGCTAGAATTATATTCATTTAAAAGTGTTCAGTTACTTTTCATTTGAAAATGAGCCTCCCCAATAAATAACGAACATCAAGTGTCATATTTATGTGGTGACACATCCTTTAATAATTGCAGCACAAGGCAGCAGCCAGTGTAAGCAGACAATGGAACTGTTGTATAGCATCACATCCTTTGGTTGATTTGTATACTGAAAGGGTTCGGCAGAAGCCAAAACTCC